CACATACTGACTATTTTTCGCAGCTCTGCGAGACTCGAGCAGGTGAAATTACAATTGAATATCGCTGTGCTTGAAAGTTTCGAATTCCTTCGATAGTATTTTTGCTCTCGATCGGAACGGAACAAAACGCCGTTACGTTAGCGAGATATTTCAATTGATTTCCCCCCCCCCTTTTTTTATGTATATGCCATATATATATATATATATATATATATATATATATACACATAATACACATCGTTCGTCTGTTTCGACGTATGTACACCAATTCCATTTTTCCATTTTTCTTTTTTTTTTCTTTTTCCAATTTTCACAGCATTTTCTACACACTTTACAAACGCCGTTTGAAAAATTACGATTTCCCTTCGTCGTCAATCGCCTGTCTCGCTTATCTACACGATCCGCGAATGATGCACCGATATATAATTATGCGCGCGATAATCCTGTGTATATATGATTCAAAAGCTAATCGATTCCATCGATCTCGACAGGACGGCAGTGTTTTAATTCGTTTCATCTCGCGAGTTCTTTTTCTTTCTTTTTTCTTCTTCTCTCTCTCTCTCTCTCTTTCTCTAAGAAAAAAAAAAAAAAAAAAAAAAAAAAAAGAAAAAAAAAACTCGCAACGAACTTGAAGAATTTCCCATTCTACCATGGACGCGTGTTCCAGGATTATCCTACGTTTACGGCTGCCATGTTTAATACGATTATTATACAAATACAATTCAAAAACTCGATTTAAAAGAACGAATAATCATCACCGAGGCAGATTTATTGTATGTCGCGGATAGAGATCGTTGCACATCCTCCACTGGATGAAAAACATCAAACGAACGTGGGCAAAACATGTGATCCTTTCGTCGACAAAAGTCTATTTACATTTTACATTTGAAAGCCTGCTGGCTCCTCTCTTTGGAATTTATGCTAGTGACGGGACAAGAAGAACGATTTTCTCCGGTCGATACGATCCCATCTCTATCTTTTTTTCTCCCCCCCCCCTCCCCCCCCCCGCCGCTCTTCGTCTGACAATTCCTCTTCCTTCCGTCGAGAGCAGAAACTACTTTTAGCAACTTGGAATATGCTGATTATCTTCCAGTAGTCGTTGACCACTTCACGAATTATTCCCCCCTGCTATTCGAAACTCGGGCAAACACAGGAATTTAGAACTGTCGAAGAAGCTTGAACGAATGGGAGGCGAATTCAAAGAGCTGAAAAATCGAATCAACGTGTAACGAAAGTACGAGGGAAACTAATAAACCTAATAAGGTTGTTGATGAATGACGTAATCCTTTCCTCTGATTTCCTTCCCCGATTAAAAACTCGCTACTCTCTCTTTTTCTTCCTGCGAGTCTTCGCCGCACGGCGGTAGATTTCCAAGATCGGAAAAAGAGAACGAATCGAGATCGTGTCCGATGAGAACCGATTTGCTCAATTTGAATGCCAATTTGTAAACGCCTTCTCGACTTTTTTTGCATCAGAATATACCCTATCAACCATTCTTACAAGATACGCTGCTGTCAGATATACTATAGAATACGATAAAAATTTTGCCTTTACCTTAACGTGGCTACGATCGATGGAGAAAGTAATTGAATGTTCGGAAATTGCACATATTTTTCATATCTGTTTTTCTCCCTTTCTCGGCCGCTCTTTCGCGTAGCATTATATATATATATACACATTCACACGTACGGTAGCTTGTTTCCTCGAGATATATATATATACACACACCGAAACCTATTTTTCAGAAGTTCACACGAAAAACTAAACCTATGAGAAACGAAAAAGTAATTATTGAAGGAAGAATGAAAATCAATGTAATTTAACGGGGAAAAAAAAAAATCGATGCTTCCTTTCGAGTAAAAAGAAAAGAAAAAAAAAAAAAAAAAA